TCTAGTAAGTAAGGCTGCAGAAAGTAAGAAAAGTTTACCAAAAACACTGGGAATACTATGATCTTCTTAGGAGAACTATTAATATCAAAGACTTTCACAGAGAGAGGGGATAATAAGTGACCATAAAAGAAAATCTACTTTTATGAGTGAGAGCAAGTTACTGATTTTAAAAGTCATGAAGGTGTCTCACTTAAATAGCATCTCACTGATAGTTTCATTAAATTATGGCATATGCCCATTTAGTTAAATCACTAAAGGTGAACAAAGAAAAAAGGGAGGAAATGTGAAAATGGAAGCAAATATTGAGTTTGTCTTCCTGGTTCTTGTAGACGTCAATCCTTACATATCTGTGTCCAAAAAATGTGTTCTCATTTGAAAAGTATCTTCCTTTATTCCATATATGCTTTAAAGTATTTATTGATCAGAGAAAAAGGAAGGGAGGTAAAAAAAATGAAACAGATGTTGGTAACAGTTTTCTTCCAAGTTCTGATGGGCTTCGAATTTTAATTATCTATAAAAAAAAAAAAGCTTTCAATTTAAAGGTACCTTTTTCATTCTGAACCTTCTTTTATATGTAGATATATTGGATATTTGTCTTTTAATTACACTTACCTAATCATAGATTACAATTAAAAACATGTTTTCTTAATATCAATAACTGATTAGAAATAATAATGAATAATGTTGAAGTAAATCATGTCATCATGAATATAGCTATCAAATTATATAGCTTTTCAAATGTGCTGATACATAAAAATTGTACTTTTCATTTTCTGTGATACAAGTTACTCTATTTCCACAGACATATAGAAAGTAACACAGGTAACTACAAATAACGATTTGAAATTATATTTGTAATAAATAAAATTTAAATTTAATCAGTTGTTTATTTCCTTAAACAAACAAAATTACATACGTGGCTTCAATTTCAGTTCTCCACCTGGCCCTGCTGGAGGAGTTTCTTGTTGTAATTTTTTTTGTTCCATCTGCTGTACAACCTAGTGAGTGGAAAAGAACATTTTAAAACTAAGTTTTGTTTTATTTTTTCTTATCTATAACCTTTGACAAAGCCCAACAAACTAATTGAAAACTGATTTCTAAAATGAGATATTCCAGCTCTAAAATTCAGACTAATATTCAATAAAGCAGTCCTAAAATAGTAAAATTTAAAATGTTATAGCTTCTAATATATTGAAATAATCTATTTCAAAAACATAGGCTTTTAACAAAAAGCCGAAAATCCTTTTTAACGTCACAATCCTACAAAACACCACCTGGTGATATTCCAGTTTCTGAGCTTCAAGTTGGTCATGCTGACGTTGTAGCTCTTCCTTCTGTTTCTGAAGCTCATCTGCCTTTTTCTTTAGTTCATTTTCTTGTAAAGAGATAAGATTTTCATACTCTTTTAGCTCTTCCTCTGTGAATAACTGCTGCTGATCCAATGTCTTAAAGGAAAAAAAAAAAAGAGAAAAAATAATCTTACAAGTACAACAGGAAGGTCAGATTCAGTTTTAAAGTTCTATGATAAGCAATGTATAAAAGAATATCTAGTGTATTTAACTTATTAAACTTTTGGGGCAAAAAAGAAGGGGACTCAAGAAAATAGGTATTTATGCACTCATTTCAGCAAAAGAGAAAAGAATTGTAACAGGGTGGTCCCCAGGAAAGGGGGCCAGGAACCTCCCCCTTTCCTGGGGACCACCCTGTTACAATAGGACTTACAAGTTTGGTTACAAGGGAGAGAGCTGGGTTGAAAGGACAAAGAATGTGGGAAAGAAAATGATACTCTTCTGAAGGCACATTTTTGGAAAGATTTGATTTTTGGAAAAGCACCAGTTGAATACAAACCAAAGCAAATAAAATAACCCACAGAAACTGGGATGGGGCAGGCTAACTGAAGAAATTTTTTATCACAATGCATAATTTAAGTATCTGCCTCTGTATGGTAGAAATATAGGTAGCTTCTAATTTACTTCTCTAAATGTATCTATATTTCTAATTTTCAAGAATGAACATTTTATATTTAGAAACAGAGCAATTTCTAACAGACTTCTAATTATATGCAATGTGATTACAAATAAGAGATCAATTATTTTATAGTGACATTATTTTATAGTAGCATTTCATATGAAAAGCCAAGACAATAATGCAACCATAATGTGAAATAAAAGTTAAAGGTAGAACAGACTGATGTCAAATTACCTCCCAGCTATCTGGCTCTAAGAATTCCTTTTTTTCTGTTGCTCTCATAAACTCATCCAGAGTCACCAGTCGGTCTTTGTTAGCATCAACCTGATTAAAGGAAAATGAATATGTAAAATAAAGTAACTCTTTCTCATGAAACTATCCTCTAATAGATGCTACTACATTGACATTCAGCAAGAGCTAGCCTAACACCCACAGAAATTGAGATGGAACACTCAATTGTACTGGAATCAGAAAATAGATATTTTTCTCATCTATATAATTCCAATTTAAAAATACAGTGAGATATGTATACATCTGATACCCCAAAGTTTCAGTTTGCTGATCTGACTGGTTAGTCTAGTATTTGCCTCCTCCCTTACCACACCATGTATAATCCCTCTTGAGGCCAAGTGCTTGGTCAGGAAAAATAATCTTCCAGAAAAAAACTGTTTTGGTCAAAAGTACAGGAATTTAAGTTAAAATCCTCTGAACATTTTTCCTTAAAGATGACTAACTAAGCCAAAACTAAAGTAGACAACCTCTCCAAATCCTCTTCAACGGTGCTTGTAGATGCAGGCAAATTCAATTACAAAGGTGACATCTACAATGGCCAGAGAAATTTATTTGATACAGGGATTCCAGCAGTCAGCAGAGATCCCAATTCATCATTAACAGCTCAAATATCAGTGAAAATCACTGAAGCAAAACATAGGTTTTAGTTACCCTTAGTTAGATCAGAGTTTTCAGTGTAGTGATGTGAACAAGAAATAAATATCTATCGTTATAAATTATTAAGGTACTGGGTTTTTTAAATTTTCTTAACTAAAAATAACATAGCATTTAAAACATCAAATATTGCACTACAGTATTTCTTGACTTCTAAAGAATATTTTAGAGCTGATATGCAGGGGCATCTTGAGTTTTTAAAATATTTTGAAATAGTTACAAATTGTTTTATTTATACTAAGTGAATATACTAAATACTATGGATCAAAAATGCAAAATCCAATTAAATACCTATTCTGTGTATTTATTTTTCATCTTATGGCAAGATTTACTGTAAGAGACTTGGACAATCAATAGATATAACATGGGGCCTCCCGGTGGCGCAGCGGTTGAGCGCTGGGTTGCGAAGCTGCCCGCTGCCTCTGCAGCGCCGGTTCGATCCCCGGCTGTTCCCCGGCCACCGGAGAAGGGTCCCACATGGCGCGCAGACCTCTCCTGCCGCCAGCTGCTCCCCTCAGCAGTGTACTTCGGTCCTTCTGCCTGCTCTGCTCCCCGCTCTGGCTCTGGTGAATTCTCTCACCCTCCCGTGCTTCTGACTGTACCCAGTGCTTGTATAAATAAATAAAATAAATCTTTAAAAAAAGAAAAAAAAATAGATATAACATGTAATCTTAAACTTTGAAAACCTACCTCATTCATTACATGTTCCCTCATTCTAAGTCTTTCTTCCTCCATTTCTACCATATCATCTTCTTCGTTTTTGGGGTCATATACTTTTTCCAACTAAAAAGAAAATTTTAAAACCAACATAAAAAGAAAGGAAGATGACAGAAGGAAAAAAGAAAGCAAAAACAATGAATACTTGATAAACTCAGTTACCTCTTTAGTAAACAGGGCTTCTAATTCTTGTTCATCCAGGAAGCCATCATTATTGACATCTAAAGTTTAAATATTATAAATGAAAAAACTTATCTTAATGCCTTAGAAAATAAATCAATAAATAAAAATACAAATGTTTACAGATGGTTTGCAAAACTAGTACTGACATGAAGCATTACAAAAAAATGTTTTTTTATGAAGTCTCAGTTCAGTCCAACTGATAACATGCACTACTCAATGCATAATTCATAACAGTTTCTATAAAAAACCATGACTAATTTCCCCCCAAATATAAAGCTTCATCTATCTAGCAATATATGACACTAAAAGTAAGTTTTAATATTATAGCATAAAGATATAACTGAGTCATAGAAATACCTTCATTTTACAGAGAAACTTGCAAAAAATCACATAATAACTCAACAGTAAAAACAGGTATAAAGACACAGCTACTGACCCTAAGATATTTCATCCTGCGGATCAGTATGCAATAAAGACTGCTTTAGTACCCTACAGAAAAACTTAAAAAATTTGCTATCAGTAGGACAATAGAAAACTGTCTTTTAATAGATGTTACTACATAAACAATTTTGTCAGATATCAGGAATAGACTGTAATTTTTCAAACAGCAGTTGTAAATATTAATATTTGCATCAAATTTATTACCATGTAATTTGAAAAATGTCTTGGGGTCAAAGTCATTAGGATCCAAACCATCGGCCTCTTCCCATACCTCTTTCAGTTGGTCTTTGCTTCCCTGTGAATCAATTTTTAAAAACACTCAAAATGTAATATACATACATATAATACTTATATACATATACCAAAATTAAATACGTTTGATGAACATGGCAGAATTAAGAATTAATATTTAAGTACTAATAATTTGATGACAAAACTCTACTCTCTAGTACAAAAGAAAAAGTCTTCAACTAGTCATAAAGTCATAATTCTTACTGGATGATTGACTTTGGGATGATTTTCATGTTTTTTCTTCATTTCTTCAAATTTCAATTCTTCTTCTTTTCTCTTTTCTTCATTAAGTGTTTTCAAATACTCCCTCCTTTCATGTTCCTTCATCATTTCATATTTTTTAAATTCTTCATGTCGAGTTTTGTCATAGTGTTCCAGATCACTTGTAGCCTATAATCCATAATTAAATAAAAAGATGTGTTTCAAGAATATAAGTAAAGCCGTTCTAAAGAGCACCTGCACCCTATGTTTATAGCAGCACTGTTTACAATAGCTAAGCTTTGGAAACAACCCAAATGCCCAAAAATAGATGACTGGATCAAGAAGATGTGGTACATATACACCATGGAATATTACTCAGCAATCAAAAAAGATAAACACATGCAATTTGCAGCAACATGGATGGTGCTGGAAGGGATCATGCTCAGCGAAATAAGCCAAAAGAAAAAGAAAAATACTGGATGGTCTCACTCATAGCAGGAATCTAGAAAACTTAAATAAGGGACCAGGAAAATGAATATAAGAAAGTGAAAATCAAAATCAACAAACAACTATGAACCAGAGACACTCTATGGGGGGTGCGGAGCGGGGAGGGGAGGGATTGGGGTCAAAATAAGGGGGTTGCAATTGTATGGGGAATATAAAAATAAAATTTATTTAAAAAAAAGGAATGCCATTCTTACATGTAGCAGACTCTAATATAAGGTAGTATAAGAGGAGCAAAATACACTGGACTCCTCTTTTAAAATTCTACCATTTTATTTTAGTCATATTTACTACCAAGAATGTAGGCATTCCAAGAAACTAAAAAGTTAGGAAGTTCCTCATAAACATTATAAATTTGGAAAACAACAAAGAAAAAACTGTATCAAATTAGTACAGAAACTAGGATGATTTCTAACCACAATATAAGAGATCTGCAAACTCAGAGAACACTAGAAACAGAGACCCAACCACAGAGGCAGAGGTTAGGAAGGAGAACTGGATAAAGATAGCCAAATTTCAGCAATAAGATAAATGAGTAGTAGGGATGTAATGGACAACATGATGACTATAGTTAACACCACTATATGGGATATTTGAAAGTTGTTAAGAAAGTAGACTCTAGGATTCGCAATACAAGGACATTTTTTTTTCTTTTTCTTTTTTTATTTTTGTATGTATCTATATGAGATGATGGGCACTAATTAAACTCATTGTGTTAGTCATTTCACAGTATACACATATGTCAGGTCATCATACGATATACCTTAAACTTAGGTGATCACAGAGGACTGTGATCAAATAGGTTAGTATTTCTCTAGCAAAATCTATGAATAGTCACATTAAGTAGGCTAAATGAAAACTACAAATAACCTTACTGTAATTCAAACCAGGTAATTCAGCTTTTATAGCTTCTTTTTTTATTATTTATTTATTTATGTATTTATTTGTTTGTTTGTTTGTACATGCACTGGGTACAGTCAGAAGCGCGGGAGGGTGAGAGAATTCACCAGAGCCAGAGCAGGGAGCAGAGCAGGCAGAAGGACCAAAGTACACTGCTGAGGAGAGCAGTGGGCGGCAGGGGAGGTCTGCACGCCATGTGGGACCTTCCTCCGGTGGCCGGGGAGCAGCCAGGGATCGAACCAGCACTGCAGAGGCCGCGGACAGCTTCGCAACCCAGCGCTCAACCGCTGCACCACCGGGGAGGCCCTTTATAGCTTCTTTTTAAAAAAATTTGTTAAGGAATTACAGACCTATATGTCTATATGATCTGCCAACAGTAAGGGATAAGCTATCTCTCTTTAAAGACATTCTAGAGGGCCTCCCCGGTGGTGCAGTGGTTGAGCACTGGGTTGTGAAGCTGCCCACAGCCTCTGCAGCGCCGGTTCGATCCCCGGCTGCTCCCCGGCCACCCACTGCTCCCCTCAGCAGTGTACTTCGGTCCTTCTGCCTGCTCTGTTCCCTGCTCTGGCTCGGTGAATTCTCTCACCCTCCCATGCTTCTGACTGTACCCAGTGTTTGTATAAATAAATAAATAAATCTTTTTTTAAAATAAATAAATAAATAAATAAAGACATTCTAGAGAATATATAAAATTTGTATTACCACTTCATTGTATTTACTCATCAAACTACAAAACCTCAAAGACAACATTTTTTGGAATTATTCTCACCGCTTTTATTAGCATATCTAAATCTGTAGATTCAAACTTGTCAGGATTCATGTGGTTTAGGTGATCAAATTGTTTTAGAAGAGCTTGATGGTCTATGCCTGTATCTGAAAGAAAATGAGAAAGCTCTAAATGATTAATTATTAAAAGCTAGAAACAATAGAAAGTATATATAAGAATAAGCATTTGTATTTACAGCTATAGAATTTTGTAAGAAAATTTAAAATTTTAGTTAGGTTCATATTTTCTTTGAGAATATTACACACATTGTCATGCTAGGAAAAGGCAAAACCCTTAGATTTAAAATGAAATAAAATTTAATATGCAATTTTAATGCTATTTCTAGAAAAATTTGTTAATTATGAACATAACTAATAGTAAAAATGTTTTTATTATAGGTAAACTACCAAATTTCCTACTTAGGTAGATAAACTCTAATTTATTGCCCTCATCAAAAGTCTAAGTAGAATTTCTAAAATGAATTGCTCTAAAATTTATATGGAAGAATTTTTTTGTATGTTGCGCTAATGAATCTTTAATAGAACAATAAAAATCTAATTCAAGTTCATTCATTTGAATGATAACTTATTTTTAGAGAAACATCACTTGTTTTTCTTTATTAAAAAAAGTTTTTAAAAACAAGCTACAGTTGATTATAGTTGAATGGGTGAAGCGATTCTGTGATATGAGTTGTATTACAGAAGTGAGCAAAATAGGCATGGGAGCTTTTGTGGTTAGAAGTTAAGTTCTCACTTAGGGGAAAGAAATATACAATATGGAACAATGGAAGGCAAAGAAAAAAACCTATCAAAATGGATGATAATTAGCACTGTCTATGTAAACTTATGATTTACAAAATATGTACATGTATATGTACGCATGTTTTCCCCCCGTATATGCATGTGTGTGCATCAATTATAACAAATGCATCAGTCTGGTAGAAGAGGTTGGTAATCCAGAAGCTATGCTCCATGTAGGACCAAAATGTCTATGAGAATTGGTGTATTTTTCCTTCATTTGTGCTGTGCACCTTATATAGTTCTAAAAAAAAAAGTCTTACTTGCAAAAAATACAAGTTTCAAAGATTTATTTCAATTTATCATTTGTCCTTTCACCTTATGATTTCTTTTGTCACACCATAATATTTTCTTATTATTTCTATTCATATGATGATTTATAATATCAGATATTCTATTAGTGAGTCAATTGTACTATTAAATAAATCCACTTCCTATGTATATATAGTATTCTGCTGACATACAGTAATTTTGGTTTGGAAATTAATACATAAAAAGAACTAGGAAGACTTCCCTTTTTTCTGTGCTATGGAATAGTGTAAATACCATCAACAATTTGCTCTTTAATTGTTTAATTGAATTTCCTTTATATTGTCTGAGCATGGAAGTGTAACTTTGTAGGGCTACCTCTCAGACAACTTTGCTATTTCATCAATGGAAATTATTCTAATTAGATCTTCTCTGTGCTTTCTTGAGGTTTGTTTTCATGTTACTTTTCCTCTTTTAAATCAGTTGATTAATTCACTACTTTTCATTCTTCATTTAATTTGGAATATTTGAGGCTAGCTTAATTTTTTTGAATGATGTGAATATATTGGTTTATTCAAAAAATTAAATTAAAAAATCAGAGATGTCAAATCAATACTAACATTCAATTTTCACTAAAGAACATGCTAAATGTAAACTGATGTCAACAACCAAGTATTGAAATTTTCCTGTATTTTCTATATCACTTACCTTGAAGGGAATCCAATTTAGCTTTAATCAGCATTCTTAACCTTGACACCTCTTGTCTCTTTAGTTCATCAAGTTTTGTCCTCACATGGTGACTTACTAAATCAAGCTCTTTGCTTAACCTCCCACTCTGTTAACAAAATTAATAAATTAGTTTTATCTCTTACATTGTATCTTTTACCAGATATAGTGTAGTAAAAGTAATTATAATAAAGTGGCAATAAGTATTTTAACGAATTTAGATAAATTTGATATTGATATTGAGATTCCATTTTAATTCTAAAATCAAGATGTCTAAAAACTGTATAATTTAGAAAAATATAATTAAAGCACAAAGAAGAAACTCAAAAATAACTTGAACTGTAAAATATTGTAGCCACTATGGAAAACAATTTGGCAATTCCTCAAAAAGTCAAGTGCAGAGTTACCATATGATCTAGCAATTCCATTCCTAGGTATACACCTAAAGAATTAAATTTTATGTTCACATAAAAACTATACATGGATATTCATAGCAGTATCATTCACACTAACTAAAAAAGTAGAAATAACTTAAATGTCCATCATAAAACAAATAAATTTAGATAAAATAAATTTAGAATATCCGTATTTTGGAATATTATTCATCTAAAAAAAGGAATGCATGTGTTGATACATTCCACAACACAATAGACTTTGAAAACACTATGTTAAGCCTGACACAAAAGGTCACGTTACATCATTCTGTATATATGAAATGTTCAAAAGAGGCAAAGCCATAGAGTTTAGACCCATAAAACAGTTTAGGGGTTGCCAGGAGCTGAGGAAAGGGGGGAATTAGGGAGTGATTACTTAATGGGCACAGGATTTCCTTTTTGGGGAGTAATGAAATTGTTTTAAAATTAGATAATGGTGGTAGCTGCATACCTGGTTGTGCTAAAAGTCATTGAATTGTATGTTAAGGAATTATATGTTAAAGAGAATTATACTTCAATAATTTTTTAAATATTTTATTTTATATAATTCTTACATCATTTTTCATCTTTACTTCAGTAATTTTTTAAAAGTGATTTGGCCTCTTTTTAAACTTTAGTCATTGGAAATAAATTTTCAAAATTCATCTTTTCCAGTGGTTTCCTTTGATTATATATTTCATAGATGAGTAACTAGATACATTTTCCAAGGTTTAAGAAACAAAATAGCTAGTGGCTTACTTTCTCTTGTTTATTAATACATTTGCAATCACAAATTGTGAGATTAATTAGAAACCAAGCAGACAAACCTTTTAGGACTGAGTCGGAGGCCTGCTGAGGAAGGTAAAGAAAAGAAACCTCACAAGAGAAACCAAGACTGAATGTTCGAGAGGGAGAAGGAGAACTATGAGAACATGCTGTGACAGAATAAAAAAGAACAGTGTATTTCAAGAGAACGGCCAGGTAGAACAGTGGTTCTCAAACTTGTCCCCAGTGGAAGCATTAGCATCAACTGGGTGCTTTAGAAATGAGTCCATAGACTCACTGACTTAGAAAGTCTGGAGGTGGGGCTCAGAAATCTGTGTTTTAACAAGCCATAAAATCTGTGGCCCCCTGTGATAAAGACATTAGAAAGAATAAAAATTGTTTGCTGACATCCTTCATGAAGGCACATTCTGTGAAGCAGTGTGGGCAAAATGATAATCAGCAGTGCTTGGGACATGAAGAACTGTAGTATGATTTTCCTTTCAAAATGCTTCAAAGGCTGGAAAGAAAAGGACAAATTCCAATAACCCCCCCCCCATTTTTTTACTGTAACAAGAGTCTTTGCTAGACTATTTGTAATGATTCTTTTGGGTTTTTTGCCTATTTTTTCTCATTTCTTTTTCATTGAATAGCAGTTTGACTTACATTTTGTCTACCACCTCCCACCCCACACTGATTTCAGAGAGAATAGAAATTGATTGTGAAATAAGACAGTTATAAAAGTATTCTCTACACCAAACCAGGAAGTGGATTGTCTTTTTTCCCTGTATTTCTTGACATATATCTCTCATTATCCACAGTTTCTATGTTATCCCCAAATAATGCTCTTAATCCTAATTTAAATAGATAAGATATCGAAAATTCTACAATAAATATCATTCACCCCAAGAAACTGGTTCCACAATTCAGAAAAATTAATGACAAAATGCTGTTCCCTCTCCCCCAGAACAATTCGTAGCCTCTGAGAGGAGAGTCATGGACTGAAAACACAGTAATTGCTAAGACCTGATGTTACTAGGTCCTTTAAAGAGACCCACACTGAGGACAGAGATTAAAATAAGGCTGCTTGATCCGGAAAGATTCCTTCAAAGTTCTGATTCTGATTCTAGAAACAGTTCATAGAAATTTTGAGAAAATTTAAAATGAATAAATAAAGAAAAATGATGCAAGCAAACAAAAATATTTGGAAAGTTTAAACTTAAATTACTGGAATTTTTTTTTTACTTGCTGACTCTAAAATATACACAATGAAATGGATTGATAGCCCAAGGATGGGCATTAAAAAAAAAGAATCTCTCACATCAGATCTTTACAGCTTCCTTTCTTTAGAATGAGTACTAAGAGATGTTTAGGGTTACAATTATGTCTATCAGGACAGAGGCAGATGGTTAAACCTCCCCTACTAGCGTAAGATATGGCCCATTAACTCTTATAATAGTTGATCTGCACCTGATTAAAACACTAGAAGCTAATCTGTTCTACACCTCTGAATAGCTTCCTACTATCCTCACATCATGATACACAATCCCCGCGGCCCCTACATCTAGCCCCTATGCCCATCTCATGTTTTAGCCACTCAGCCTCCACTTCCCACTCATTTCCAGCAAGTTACTACATTCATTTTTTCAATTTATCTCTTATAGCTGGATATCCTTGCACCTCAGCCTATCATGCTTCCTAGCCTCTGTCCTTTTCTCAGTCACGTCTTTAAGCACCGGCATAACCTCTGCAGAGAAGGACAACTTCCCACTTTCTCCCACAGGTGGAATTATGTGACCATCATCTGCATTTCCAAAATATATTATTATATACTTATCACACATATATCATAACAATCTAGTTCTGATTATTATTCTCCTTTGAGGGCTCTTTAAGGGCTTGGGTGGAGTTTCGTCTTTGTATACCCATTAGTTAACTCAGTACCTGTCATGCTCAGATGTCTGTTAAATAATTATTTGATTGCATTTACCTTTATTTCCTCTATGTCTGCTTTCTGGAGTTTTTCTCTGAAATGATCATCTGTTTCCAGCACATCAATCACTTGCTTGAGATATTCATCATAATAAAGTCCAGTTTCCTTCAAGTTAAGAAAAAGATAATAATGCTCCTTTAAGTTTTTTTTTTTTTTAAATAGAGACATGTTTTATTTATTTATTTGTTTGTTTGTTTGTTTGTTTTGTTTATACATGCACTGGGTACAGTCAGAAGCGCGGGAGGGTGAGAGAATTCACCAGAGTCAGAGCGGGGAGCAGAGCAGGCAGAAGGACAGAAGTACACTGCTGAGGGGAGCAGCGGGCGGCAGGAGAGGTCTGCGCGCCATGTGGGACCCTCCTCAGGTGGCCGGGGAGCAGCCGGGGATCGAACCGGCGCCACAGAGGCCGCGGGCAGCTTTGCAACCCAGCGCTCAACCGCTGTGCCACCGGGGAGGCCCTCCTTTAAGTTTTTTTTTTTCTTTCCTGCATCTAAAGATCTCAATCCCTAAAAAAATATTTCTAGCAAAATGGTTTTTAGACATATCTACTTTGAGAATCTGGACAAAGTTAAAAAGTTGTATTTCTCAAATGAAGAGCTGTATGTCAAGAACTGAAATCATGTATTACTATTAATATAAAGGTAGATTTTCTATATGCATTTAGATAATAAAGACTTAACCAATAATATTAATTGATTTTTCCCATTATCACCCGTATGTTTTCATTGCTATGTGTCTCTCTTTTGATTATAACACAATGTTTTCTTAGCTGGTTAGCTCCACATTGGACAGGTATTATGATTAATTCTTTTATGTATTATCTAAAATACAAATTACATTAAATAATCATTGTCCATTATTGTTTAAAATATGTTTATCCTGGGCCTCCCTGGTGGCGCAAGGGGTTAAGCACTGCACTATGAAGCAATCCGCAGTCTGTGCGGCACATATTCTATCCCCCGCCGGCCAGGGAGCAACCCACATAGCGCAGCAGATCTCTCCTGACTTGCCCGCTGCTCCTTTCAGTAGTGTACTTTACCGTTAATCTGCCTGTTCTGTTCCCCACTCTGTTCCTGGTGAATCCTCACTCCCCTCATCTCTGGCTATACCCCAGCTCTTGTATGCATAAATAAGTAAATCTTTAAAAAAATAAAATAAAATATGCTTATCAAATACTCTTATCACTGTCATATCAGAAGTAGTTGCTAAATATCCAACTTTAGAAATAAGAAATATTGGCCATTTCTTAGTTAAAATTCTTCCCACAGAACTATCACCATCATGTTACTTACTGGCGATTGCACCTTGGCGCTGTCCACAGGTTGAGTATTTTTCACTTTTGTCTTGTCTATGTCTATAGGCACAGCTTCAAGAGCAGTAAGAAGACATGAAACCAAGAGGAAACAATATTGTAGTAGCATGGTCCTCCACCTTGTCTAAAATAAAGGTATAATTATAGTAACGTCCTGAAAAGATGTTCTCAATTTATATATATTTTATATATATACATTATATATATATTCTTAATGCCACCTTGATAATATATTTAATCTCAGGAAGTTTAAGACACAATATTTGAAGGGGTAAAAATTGATAACTTATCAAAAATAATGCTTGAAGTAGATCATTAGCCCACCCATCTGTTCCTACAGATAAAGAATTTTTTAAAAAGGCACTAAAAATCAGGAAAGTTCTTAAGTTAAAATTGAAAAAAAAAAACCAGGGATACAAAATTTTAAAGTTTAAACTTATATAGTATGAAAATATCTGGTTAATAGCTTCAAAATAAAAAGCAATGAGGGGCTCAATATTCTTAAAAAATAAGTAGCTCAGGTTTAGGAAAGAGATAAGTAGGAAAAAACTCAATTAAAATACTAGAGAACCAAATACTTCAGAATATAAAACTTGGTTTAGGTTCAACCTAATTTAGAATATATGAATATAAGAATGTATGACTATAAACTCTATGAATATAAGTTGCTTAAAAGAGATCAATATATATAGGTATCAATATATATAGATACAAATATTCTCTCAACCTTATTTTTATCATAACCAACAGTGATTTGCTAAAATTCTTCTCGATCAATAAGTTTTCAAATAAATACATCAGTAAAATATCAACAAATGCGATTGAAATAAAAGAGCAACTACTGCTGCCCCATAATATTACTCAAATTTTTCTTATTCTATTTGAATATTTTCAGTCCATAGAAGTCTTAGTGGCTTGAACAATCTACTACAAGAATTAGAATGAGTAAAATTGATTATAGGTATGTATGTGTGTGTGTGTGTGTGTGTGTGTGTGTGTGTGTGTGTGTGTGTGTGTATAGAAAGAGAGAGAGAGATTCATTAAGTCTACTAGATGGGGCGGGGAATCTCTCTCTCCCTCTTTCTCTCTCTCTGAAAGAGGAGAAGGAGGTCCCATGGCCTAGGCTTAAGGACAGTGGGTGTTTTTGGTGAGGGGTAGGGGGTAGTGTGATAACATACATTTAAGGAGGTATGACCCTATTCCTCTAAACCATATACAGTGTTGTAAATCAACATCACTTCAACAAATAAATTAAATAAATAAACAAATATAAGAATCTCCCCATAGACTCCTGCACGCTGTATTCACACTTTATCTTGTGTTCCCTAGGCCCGCCTCCTCCCACCATAAAACACACATACACAGTTGATAAACTCTTCTATCTCAATTGGCAGCTAGCCCACATATTTTGAAACATGCTTTTTTAATACTGTCTACCTTTACTTCACTATATAATAGAAGCCTGAGATTAATGAAAGTGTCTGTAGTCAAATCCCATTCTGGAAGTGGAATTCCTTTATCAATTTGCCACTTCTGCTCTCACTTTCTTCTGCCAAGTCTATCTACCATAAATAAGAAGTCAAGTCAAGAGAGGAATGTGTTTGTATATATGAACGTGTGTGTGTGTGTGTGTGTGTCTCCTGACAACATCTTAGTGATAAAGTGACAAAAAGTCTCTAGGCATCTATTCTAAAACACTGGCTAAACTTATGGTTCATAAACATTTCATTTACTCCAGGATTATTATAAGAAACAATAGAAAATAACTGAGTGTTCACTACGTACCAAGGAGTATGCTAAAGTCTTTTTAAAAAAAATTAACTCATTTAATATAAATTACAAATTACAATAGCCCTATGAAATAAACATTATTATCACATGTCAAAGTATAGAAAATGGACACATTATTAATTAAAAAAATTGATCTGGGGCACAGAGCATTAAGTTTTAGAGTCAGTGTTCAGACAAAAGAGGGACTGACTCCAAAGCCTTTGTCTGCTTTTAGGCAGTGGTTCTAAAGTGCAATCCCTGGACCAGCAGAGACTGGGGAGGTGGAGGAAGTACAAAATCTGTTTTATAACAGGCCCTATGTGATTCTGATTCTTGAAAACAGACTGTGTCTCTACAAGGAGAGATTAAGAGAATGCTAATCTCAAAAGTACATTTAAATCCTCAAAGTAAAGAAAAATGGGTGTGTTATACCTAAGAAGAGTAAGGAAAAGATAAATTTCGGCCCACATTCTGATTCTAGTCACACCCTCACTTGCTATGTGATCACAGGTCAGTCAACTCATTCCTTCAGTTTTCTCATTTTTAAAAATAATACATCTTTTATTATTTTTTTTAATAAGCCTGTCACCAAAGGACAAATATGGTATGATTCTATTTATAGGAATTATAGAATAGTTTTACTCATTAGCAGAAAGTAGAATGGTGGTTTCTAGGGGCTAGGAGCTAGGAAGAAATGGGCACGTTTTTAATTTTGCAAGATGAAAAGAGTTCTGAGGGTGGCAGAACAACAATATGATTTTACTTAATGCCACTGAGCTGTATATATAATGGTTAAGGTGATAAATTTTCTTCCAATTTTATTGATATAATTGAATTGTATTAAAGATATATGATATATATGACATATCATTATGTAACAATGATGTGGTTTGTGTATATATTGCAAAATGATTATTACAGAAAATTATCATAGATGGTAAATTTTATGGCTATTTTACCACCAAAAAACCCCAAAAAACTAGCGCCTGTGTTCAAATTGGCCTTCCAAAATCATGACTTTGCTGCCTTTTGTCTCTAAGTCTCTACCATTCCTAACTATACCCAGCTTCCTTGGACTGTGCCTGGCACTTTATACATATGCTACCATCACCCAGTCCCAGGAGATAGGGCTTCATTACAAGAGATCCTGGGATCCCTCCTCCATTCTACACTCTCATAACCCTGCAGCCTAAATACGGAGAACCACAACCTTTCACTAAGAAACCTGGAAAAATTTCAGCTTTTTCACCAACCCTAGTGGTTGGGAATGATGGTCAGAGGAGAAGGCCTGAAGCAAAGGTGTAACATTTACCTACCCATGTAGTGCACTGACACAGCATGAAAGAGGCTCCAGCATTTGCTGAGGGCCTGGAATAGCCTCTGTGGCTGTCACCTGTGGTTTTTTTTTTTTTTTTTTTAATAATAAATTTTATTTTTATATTCCCCATACAATTGCAGCCCCCCCATTCTGACCCCAATCCCTCCCCTCCCACCCCCGGCCCCCTAAAAGTGTCTCTGGTTCGTAGTTTTTTGTTGATTTTGATTTTCACTTTCTTATAGTTATTCGTTTTCCTGGTCCCTTATTTAAGTTTTCTAGATTCCTGCTATGAGTGAGACCATCCGGTATTTTTCTTTTTCTTTTTGGCTTATTCGCTGAGCATGATCCCTTCCAGTGCCATCCATGTTGCTGCAAATTGCATGTGTTTATCTTTTTTGAATGCTGAATAATATTCCATGGTATATATGTACCACATCTTCTTGATCCAGTCATCTATTTTTGGGCATTTGGGTTGTTTCCAAAGCTTAGCTATTGTAAACAGTAAAAATAATACATTTTTTAAAGGAGGATTTAACTAATTATCAGTATTCTTCAAGGTCTTAAATTCCATTATCAGTTTTTTCTTTTGAATGAAGTATAGATCTTTTCTACTATATTATCAAAAATACTAATACAGGGCCTCCCAGGTGGCGCAGCGGTTGAGCGCTGGGTTGCGAGGCTGCCCGCGGCTGCAGTGCCGGTTCGATCCCCGGCTGCTCCCCGGCCACCAGAGGAGAGTCCCACATGGCGCGCAGACCTCTCCTGCTGCCCGCTGCTCCCCTCAGCAGTGTACTTCGGTCCTTCTGCCTGTTCTGCTCCCCGCTCTGACTCTGGTGAATTCTCTCACCCTCCCGCGCTTCTGACTGTACCCAGTGCATGTATAAACAAAACAAACAAACAAACAAACAAAATAAATAAATAAACATGCCTCTATTAAAAAAGAAATACTAATACAATTTTTATAATCACACCAATTATATGAAATGGCTATGTGACTTATAAATGCCTTTATACCAGATATTGCTTATTCAGTAAACTTAAAATTACATTGGTAGAGCAAATAGAAAATCAGAGTGTTGAGATACAAAATGATCACAAAAATCAACTATTGGAGAAAGTTCTCTAGAAACAAATAAACAAAATGTGGTAAAACCAGAAAGCTTCATACTTGAGATACAGGATGTGAGACATTATGCCCTCTGATCATTATGGACCTCGCTTCTGAAGAAGGAGAAACAAAGTTCCTCCTCGATTTTTTTTTAATTTATTTTTTTTTATAGAGGCATTTTTTTTTATTTATTTGTTTGTTTGTTTTGTTTATACAAGTACTGGGTACAGTCAGAGGCGCGGGAGGGTGAGAGAATTCACCAGGGCCAGAGTGGGGAGCAGAGCAGGCAGAAGGACAGAAGTACACTGCTGAGGAGAGCAGCGGGCGGCAGGAGAGGACTGCGCGCCATATGGGACCCTCAGCCAGAGGCCGGGGAGCAGCCGGGGATCGAACCGGCGCCGCAGAGGCCACAGGTAGCTTCGCAACCCAGCGCTCAACCGCCGCACCACCGGGGAGGCCCCCTCCTCGATTTTAAATTTAGAGATAGACAAACTTGCATTTCATTTAAACTGGATTTGTTTTTACCTTTTGCAGGAAGGAGATAAGGAATTGTGACTGCTAATTCAAAACCAAAAGCAATTTCACTTTTTGTTAATTTTAGAGGATAAGGACTGAGATTGTTTAAGGAGAAGCTTGTTTGTTTCAAAATAAAATGTAATGATTGATTTATAATAAATACAGCAGGATGCAGGACATATATATTATGTAATTCTATTTATATCAAACATCTAGAATAAGCAAATCCATACAGAAAGAAAGCAAATTAGTGGTCGCTTAAGGGTGGGGAGAAACCAGACAAAGGGTTAGAAAAAAGACAAAACTTGCAAACTGATCAAAGATCTGAGCATACAGCAGGGCAGGAGGAGGGAGAGGGGTCAAAACAGGAGGGAAGAGCACAAGGGACTGTGGTGACAGTTCACAGGTGCTGTGGTGATAGGAGAATTATGGGCAAATACCTGAGGGGAGAAATCAAATATTGTACAAAAATGAACAAAGATGTAAGAAAATAAAAATTAAATAAATATTAAATGGCTAAGAAAGGTCAGAGAGGAAAAAAATTAATAAAATGTATAACATGTACTATAAAAAAAAGAAAAGTCTATTGTCTTGTAATGACAGCCTCACAAAATGAGTGTCAGAGGCTTGGAAGTAAAGTTCAGGCAAAGGGATTGGAAAAAATTAGGAGAAGAAAGTCACCCTTAGTCTCCAAAGTAGAGAGAACAATGCTGTGTGGGAAAACACAGACAATGACAACTTTGAATCAAGAAAGGTTTCAAAAGACTCAGACTGTGAATCTAAAGAAGGCAGAAGAATACCTTTACCAATTTATTTCACTTTCAATTTCTTTATGTATGCACAAAAATGATATGAGAAAATCTATGCTATATCTAAGTGAATCTAAAAAAGCACTTTCAGTAAACATATTATAAATGATAAAGCACAAATGTGATAGCTTAATGGGCAGTATTTTTTCTATCTGGCTATAGTGGCATCTTACTATCAATGGAAATGTTCTAGCACACCAGTGTCAAGTAATGACACAAAAAAATCTCTTTAAATACAAAACAGGGGCCTTCCTGATGGTTCAAGGGATTAAGCACCGCACTACGAAGCAATCTGCAGCCTCTGCAGCACGAATTCGATCCCTGGCCGGCCAAGGAGCAAACCACATGGCAAGACCTACCTCTCCTGTCTCACCCGCTGCTCCCCTCAGCAGTGTATTTCAGTCTGCCTGTTTTGTACCCCACTCTGGTGAATCTGTACCCCAATCTGTCTCTGGTAAATCCTCTCACCCTCTGCATCTCTGGCCTGTATCCAGCTCTTGTATGCATAAATAAATAAATCTTTAAAATAAATAAATACTAAAATACTGTCAAATATGTTAGAGAAAGGTCTACAGATTTTCATGAACTGGATAATAGGCAAATATCCATACAAAGGAAGGAGAGATGAATGACAGGAGGGGTAATGGGAAGAAGAGAGACTACCTACTTTTCTTCCATTATCAAGTCAGTAAGAATGGCCTCCATTCTTTTATCACCCTCTTCTTCCATAAGAAGAATAGAGACCTAAAGAGGAGACACTGGGCTGAACTAGGCTGACATATTAGGCTGGTCCAAACCAGGAGAGGTTGATTTTTATTCTAAAGTAGGATGATGTGAAAATCTAACTCAGACAGTGATCTCAAAACAGTATGGGCAGCACTGATCCTAAGGGTGCCCAAGCCTCAGGCAAAACTACAAAGTTCTTCTTAAACCTCTCCTAGCATTCCATACATACCAAATAAATTCCCTAAATTTCCAAGTTCAAAAACAAAGCTGCTCTCTCTTCCCCTCTCAACCAAATTATAATTCCCATTCTTCTACAAAGTCAGATTTCTTAACTATTGATTCATACCAGCATTATCCAGATTAAGGCCAAAGTGTGTGTGTGTGTGTGTGTGTGTGTGTGTGTGTGTGTGTGTGTGTGTGAGAGAGAGAGAGAGAGAGAGAGAGAGAGAGAGAGAGAGAGAGAGAGAGAAAGTTTCCTATTTTGATTAACCACCTGGAAGTTGTTAAAATGGTCATGGGTTTAAGGTGTGTAGAGTACAGAAAACTGAAATTAGTTTGTCTTTCTTTCCTTATAATAATCTATATTTTTCCCCATTTATCTTTTTCTCCCTTCCTCAACCCTCTACTTTTACACCTCTTCCTTTTCAATTTAAGACTGAATTGAGGGCCTCCCTGGTAAGCACCGCACTATGAAGCAATCCACAGCCTCTGCAGCACGAGTTAGATCCCCAGCTGGCCATGGAGCAACCCACATAGCAAGGCAGACCTCTCCTGTCTCGCCCGCTGCTCCCCTCAGCAGTGTATTTCAGTCAGTCTGCCTATTCTGTTCCCTGCTGTCTCTGGTGGATCCACTCACCCCCCACATCTCTGGCCTGTACCCCAGCTCTTGTATGCATAAATAAATAAATCTTTTTTTTTAAAAAAAAGACTGAATTGAAAGATGTTTTCTTTAACCGATTGCATTTATTTAATTAATTTTATGATAAAATTTAACAAATATTTATTAAATATGCTGGATACAAAGGTAAGAGACATAGAAGTGGTCCCTACCCTCACAGGACTTTCAGTCTGCTATGTATATTAAATAAACAATTACAATTTTTAAAAAGCCACTTATAAAACTATGGGTAGCATGATTGCTTTTCTATTAATGACAAAAATTTAAATGCACTAAAATGGTGTTTAGCCAGTAGATAGTTTCATTGTCAGATGACTTATAATGCTAAACATCTCTTAGAAATAATACCAGGCTGGGGGCCTCCCTGGTGGCGCGAGGGGTTAAGACACAATCTATGAAGCTGTCCGCAACCACTGCAGCACAAGTTCAATCCCCAGCCAGGGAGATATCCACATGGTGCAGCAGACCTCTTCTGACTCACCTGCTGCTCCCCTCAGCAGTGGATTTCAGTCAATCTGCCTGTTCTGTTCCCCACTCTGTCTCTGGTGAATCCCCTCACCACCACCACCCCCCACCTCTGTCCTGTGCCCCAACTCTTGTATGCATAAATAAATAAATCTTTAAAAAAAAGAAATAATATTACACATAAGTTCTACACACATAAGTTCCTGACTTTTATTTATTTGAGGTCAGTGATTCCAGACTGGTAAAAAGCACTAGTAGCAAAAGACTTACTGTATTGTGTGGCTGATACAAAGAAAAACGTAATGCCCTGCAAAAACACAAATATACTCTGTAGAAATAAAATCTTAATTTGCTCCTAATCTACTTGCTAAAATCCATGAGACTGACTGAATTCTTAGATTCTTCCCCACCTCAATTTCTATCCCTTGAGTTTTTTTATCTTTTCTCAAAAGTTTATTTCAATTCACTTTCTTTGCAGAGCTAGCGGCATCTAAATCATATAAAATTACAACTATAGGGTATATTTTTATAATATGTATAAAGAAAAGTGTGGGGCCTCCCCAGTGGCACAGCGGTTGAGCGCTGGGTTGCGAAGCTGCCCGCAGCCTCTGCAGCGCTGGTTCGATCCCCGGCTGCTCCCCGGCCACCGGAGGAGGGTCCCACATGGCGCGCAGACCTCTCCTGCTGCGCCCGCTGCTCCCCTCAACAGTGTACTTCGGTCCTTCTGCCTGCTCTGCTCCCTGCTCTGGCTCTGGTGAATTCTCTCACCCTCCTGCGCTTCTGACTGTACCCAGTGCATGTATAAACAAACAAACAAACAAATAAATAAATAAATAAAATACATGTCTCTTTAAAAAAAAAAAAAAAGTTTTATAAAAAAAAAAAAGAAAAGTGTGGAAGGAGATAAGTTAACCAAGGGCTAGTAGTTAAGTAAGAGGAAATTTCAAGATAGGGAACAGTTAGGCGGTTAAAAAAAAAAAAAACCACAAAACTTTTAATTACTAAAGGCGAAAGTATGTTTCTTGAACCACTACTAAACTTAAATGTATATTGAGGTAAATTACACTTTTAACATAAAGTGTTTGCTTCCTAATGATTTATTATGTGATAACTTTGGGGTAACTTATCTCTTTTCTTTTTAGTACCTTGCACACAGCAAGGGGCTCAAAAAATGTTGGTTATTTTTTAATGCATAAAATGTATAAGAAATATCTATTGAGTGTTTATAGGCAATTTTTTAAAGTAACCAGAACAAATACATAATGATGGCAGAAAGCCTTCCAGAATGCATCCAGGGATAAAAGTAAAAAGAGGGCTCATTTCAGCAGACATCTACTAGAACCGCAATAACAGAAACTAAAGATTAGCATGGCCCCTGGGCAAGAATGACACACATATTCGTGAAGTGTTCTATATTCTTAAAAATTCAAAAAAGGGGGCCTCCCTGGTGGCGCGGCGGTTGAGCGCTGGGTTGCAAAGCTGCCCGCAGCCTCTGCAGCGCCAGTTCGATCCCCGGCCACCAGAGAAGGGTTCCACATGGCGCGCAGACCTCTCCTGCCGCCAGCTGCTCCCCTCAGCAGTGTACTTCGGTCCTTCTGCCTGCTCTGCTCCCCGCTCTGGCTCTGGTGAATTCTCTCACCCTCCCATGCTTCTGACTGTAGCCAGTGCTTGTATAAATAAATAAAAATAAATCTTTTAAAAAAAATTCAAAAAAGGAAAAAAGAAACACTTTTTGTATTGGGTGAAAGTTATTTCTTTCTGGAGAAAATCATTTTAAAGATCTGCCATGGCAAATTACTGAAGCTTCTAAAAGTGGTTATCAATAGCTATATGTCTCAGAGGTCCCTACTGCGGAAGATACTTCTATTTTCTTGCCAATATCCAAATCTTCCCAACCTCCTGCGTAACAAAGGCCAATTTAATTCAGGGCAGCCTCACATCCAGCTATGTTTTCCTGCTCCCTTTGTATCCTGAGTTTTGGTTCAGGAAGTCTCCATAAAAGGAGAAGACACATCCTTTCTTTGCTTTTACCTCGCTGCCTGAACTTGGCTGTGATGGTTGGAGCTCTGGCAGCTTTCTTAGATTATATGCACCAGGCTCACACCTTAAGATATCATATCAAACAACTGGAAAAAAATATAGGTTCCTGATAACTTTATGAAGCTACTATACTTATCCTAAACTGCCTACTTGAAGAATAACTTTACAGGAGAAAATAAGTATTGTGTGCTTAAGATTCCATTAAATCTGTTCTTATTTTTTGTCCTCCCTCCTTTTTTTTTTTTTTGCGATCAAATGCAATCTTAACTGATCACTCACCTTCAGACAGGTAAAGAATTTTTATCACCGTTTTATAGATGAGGTAACTTACATCCAAAGCAGTAGGATGACGTGAGCAAAATCAAGTTAATGAGGATATGGGTCTTGATTCCTAATGCTTCTTCACAAAAACAGACTCTTAATAGGTTCTAGATGTTAAAAAGGGAAATAAAGGCACATTAAACATCAATATAAATTTACCTTTATTGCAGTGATAACAAAACATGATATATACATTTGTCACATAAAAGTTCTATGATATGGAAGACTAAATTAAATCATCTTCCAGTGTGGAGAAGAGAGAAATATTAAATAAACAGACGCAAAAACCAGAATAAACAAAGATATGAATCTGTTGTGCCATTTTACTACAGAGTTCCCCTTCTAAAAACTAAAAATAATTCCAACTGAAAGCTTACTTTGCTCAGCAATGAGACTTCAAGATAGCAGGTATGTTTTCCCATATGTTTTATGTTTTCCCATAAATCCTTAACTGGAATTTTTCTTTACTCTTACCACCACTTTAAAAAATTAACTCTTGCCCCACTATCAGTCAGAGAGATCAGGTATTTAGTGAAACAACTCAAATTCTTTTTTGAAACCTCATTCCCTAACTGTAAAGGACAAGGCAGTTAGCTCATATGCAAACTCACTGGTAAACATAATTATTTCTAAGTAATCTGTAAAAAAAAAAAAGGCAAATATAGTATCTTTAAATTTTAATAATACATATTTCTTCCTTATGATCTTTTAGCATAAAATCACCCAAACAGGAAAGTGATCATATGCTTGTAATATGTTGGAGAGACATATGACTTTTATTAACACAGCACAATCAAAAATAAACAACAGATGAATCCTAATTGCTCCCATTCACTGGCAAGTTGCTTGCCTCTCTGAGCCTGGGTTTTCCTACCTATAAAATTAAGCTAATATTTCTTCATAGATTTTTGATTAGCTGAAAATAAGAATGAATACAATGTAACTAATATAGTGCATGGCAGGAGTAAATACTCTTTAAATATTAATGCCTTCCTGTCTTAAAAATGAAATAGCCAATGAAATTATGAAAATCGGTTTTGTAAATACACAATTATAAAACTTAAAAGGTGAGAAGCCAGTCTGGCAAATAACCTTTAAATGATATTTTTGACAGGTCACATTAGAGCTCTTCTCTGAACATTGCAATAGCAGTTGTAGGCCAAAGAAAAAAATACATCCAATAAAAGAGAAATAATCTCTTCCTCCTTGGCCTTAAAAGAGTTTTTTGCAAGAGCCCAGGTTTCTTTCTCTAAAGCACTGCCTTGAGCCAGGAAACTTGTGTTACGTCTTCTTAATGTCAGTGTCATAATTCTAACAATGAGAGTTAGTGGGGAAAGAGAACAAGAAATGGCTTCTGAGGTTTTTCATTGGCGTCAGTGACAAGGGCAACAGGTAACCTGGTGCTAAACTCCATTTTTCCCTTTGAAAATGAGAGTCATGGGGAAATTGAGATCAAAATATAGTATCAGCTGTATGACCAGATGATATGAACTCCCTTTATCAAAAGTATAGATCTTTGTGCCTCTACTGGTCACATCTATTGAAAAGGACACCAAAAAAAGTCATTAAATTACCTGTTCTCTCTATCTTAATCAGTTACAGTGTCCTTGATAGTAGCTTTATAAAAAACAGATACTGCTGCTCATCTGTCTTATCAACAAATTTATTAAAGTCACATCTTCATTATTTACACACACCATACTTGCGATAAGTAAAATACACATTTCGAAAAAATAAAAGCATGCAAATGCTATCTCAATTTCTATGAGGTGGCTTTAAAAGTTTTTTAATCAGTACATTCTAAAACCATTCAGAAATAATTTCAGGCAGGGTTTGGTTCAGACCCTACATTTATAAAAGGTCATAAAGCACAAGAACATTCACTGACTTGGCTAAGAGCATTTGGCAGAGTCAAGATTGATATTTGGCCATCAAATTCTAATTAAGTATACTTTCCATCATATCATATCTTTTTAAATTTCAGATTGAAAGTCATTAAAGTGATTGAAGCTTTCCCTTGAATAAATTATTTTAAATTGTCAGAAGCCTGTTTTTTAGAGTCTACAAACTAATAGCATGCGTTAAACATAAAAATAATAAATTTTCCTTTTTCTAAACCTTCAGTTATTTAGAAATAGTTAATTATCTATCATTCTAAATATAGTCAACTCAATTACTTATGACACCTAAAAGATTATCTAATTTAAGGATTATTTGCAATGCATTTTAACATTCTACACTTGATTCCCCCAAATACCCAACACTTAAACAGGTATTTTGCACATCTCAGTCATCAAAAGTTCCTTAGAAAGTGAAAAGTATTTTAAATATTATTCTTAATATCGTAAACTTAGTTTAGTATGTTTATAGAGATACATGACAAATCTTAAAACAAAAAGATTCTGGTATTGTTCACCCTATTAATATACATATTAATCTCCATAATTGGTAACTAGTGTTTTGGAAGTTACCTTCATTGTCTTACTTGTAAATTTCATTTTAACTATTATTTATCACAAACCAACTTGGCGCAAACCATGCTGAAAGGGTAGATTCATAATGTGAAATATGAACAGGATTTCAGGAGGTTATAGGAAAGTAAGCAGAATATGGACTCAACCCTTTCAAGATGTGTAAAACTAGGATAAATGGAGAATAGCATGAAGCACAAGAAGTTGGAAATGAATATTTCACTCACAGTAGAAACTTGCACCAGATTATTGAGAATTTAAAGACTAAGCTAAGAAATAGAATTTTCCATGTTCACCCTATTAAAGAAAGTGATAATACCTGAGACTTCATTCCTAATTCTAAACTTCCACTTTTTAAAAAAGTATTCAACCCTATTAACTTGGGATATTTGTTGAAACATATGTTGCATTTGTTCAAGTTTTAGAAAACAAGAATTCCACTCAACTTAGATAACGGTGAATCCTGAGGCAATTTATAAAAGGGTGGTGGTGGCAAGATGCAAAAGTCTGGATATCTAGAATCCTAAATCTAGAACATTCAGGTTCTGATTCAAGGATTGTTCTGAATGTTCTGATTCAAGGATTTAATTATTCAGTAGAATTCAGTAGAATTCAATTATTCAGTAGAAAGACTTTAAGAAACAAATCATTTAAATAGATTGTGAAAGAAGTTAGAGGTTATCTGATCCAAATCTATTAACCCCTAGTCATATTACTTTTAACTATTTCCTTAAAGAAACTGTCTCATCAATTATTTCAGTTCTTTAAATTCTTATAGGGAAAGTTCACAAATTTTCAAATAAGATTTACTAGCAGAAACAATTAATTGCATTGAACCTCCTTGTCCACTCCTTTTTAAAAAAAAGTCAAGGTAATATATGGTTTGGTGTCCATATTTATCCATGCATTTAATAAAAGGGTTAGGTGGCAGTGCTGACTTATTCAGTTGTGTAAAATTTACTGTCCAATTTGGGAGAATAGCAGATACTTTGAGAATTTCATGAGGTTTTCTATGGCCCAGAAATCAGAATAAAGGTTGGAAGGTTTATGTAGCAGGTGCAACTAGGAAATACCATCTTTCTCATATATTGAAACTGAAAAGGCTCATCTCACACCACATGATTTCTGTCACTGAAGAGAAAACAATACCACAACTAGAAGGAACTTTCTCCTCTCCCAAGTGTCAGGGGTTGTGAGGTTTAACAGAACCGTAGAAGAGCAGGATTCCCTGGCCTAGCTTTGCTCTCCGGCGGGTGGTAGTGAGCATCAGCCAAGATTTGGTGGGTATACTATGGCACCAGTAGGCACCTCCCTTGCCCATCAACCTGCCAAGACCCGACTGGAACCAGCTGGGGTTTTGGTCCTGCTTCCAACCTACCTCCTCCTGCTCTCGATCAAGAACCTGCTACCCTCATCTACCCCCCCCCCAAAAAAAGCCTGGGTGTCCTGCAGGGAGTGGAGCAGAAGAAGGAACCCTGCGCCCCAGGCTCCAGCTTGAAACCCCTTCCCACGCGCGCGCGCCCACTGTGCGGCCCCAGCCACCGTCACTGCCCGGTCAGGGCAAGCGACGGCCAGACCCTTCTCTGGGGACCCGCTCCACCCTCCCGCCGTGGGGTTCCGCACCCCCCAGGAAGCCACTGGCCTTACCTAGCAGGTTCTCCGCGCGCGAGACTCCGCCTGCTGAACGCATACAGCGCACGGACTGGTCCCTCCAGCTCTGGGCCCGCGGCTTGCACTGTACCTCTGCCCACCGCGCGCTCCCGCCTTCTCGCTGCCATAGCGACAGCCCCCGCCCCCGGGCGGCCGCTGATTGGTCCGTCCAGGATCGCCGAAGGCGCAGATTGGCGGTGGCGGGGACGAGGCCGCGCCCACAGGCCGGGAGGAGGGCGGCGGGGAGCACCGACGCGTAGAAGCCTGGGGGCGGCTGAGCCAAGAGGGACGTGGCGCTCTGCGACGCGGAAGGGAAGGCCGCGCCCCTTCCTCTTCTGGTTTTCTGGGAGAAGCCTGTGCAGCAGGACTTGGGCCGGTGAGGTGCTGTTCCCCAACCCAGACAAAGTCCTGTGGATCGCCTGCCTTCTTGGCGGCTGGCCCGCGCCGGCCGCTCTTACAATGGTCAGAGACAGCTGTTGGGCCCATTCTCGCCCGCAGGCCTCGTTCAGGTCTAACAGCCCCAGCCTTCTGCACCGGGGGCTCTAACTCTAAATTTGACCCAACCAGTTATGCTGCTTGCTCGGCTGCTGAGACTTGGTTGCTTTTTGCCCCACCTTCTGTCACACCCATCTGCGGACTTGTCTCTTTTGTCAGCACCCTCTTCTTCTAGAACTGAGACACTGGCTCCAAATCCCTCATTTTAAAAAGGGGAAAACTGAGTCTCAAAGCTGTATGTGGCTTGGGCCTCCCTGGTGGCGCAAGGGGTTAAGCACCGTACTGTGAAGCAATTCGCATCCTCTGCAGCAAGAGTTCGATCCCCTGAGATCCCCTGCCAGCCAGGGAGCAACCCACATGGCACGGCAGACCTCTCCTGTCTCGCCTGCTGCTCCCCTCAGCAGTGTGTTTCAGTCAGTCTGCCTGTTCTGTTCCCTGCTCTGTCTCTGGTGGATCTTTCTCTCTCTCTCTCTCTCTCTCTCTCTCTCTCTCTCTCTCTCTCTCTCACACACACACACACACACACACACACTCAATATCTCTGGCCTGTACCCCGGCTCTTGTATGCATAAATAAATAAATCTTTTTTTAAAAAAAGCTATATATGGCTCAAGGGTTAAGGATGTTTGGGGGAGGCTCTAGCGAGGCTTGAGTCTGCCATATTTTAGCACCTCTTTTTATCGAGGTGCTCTTTTTAAGCTCTTTTAATAGAAGTAGAAGTAACTGACATGGAGGAGTAAGTGCTCAGTAAATATTAGCCGTGTTCACGTTATTGGCTGAGCTAGGATTATAATTCCAGTCTTTGGATTCCAAGACCAGCGATCTTTTACTCTTCAACACCTCTCATGTGCATACTTAGAACAGTGCCTCCAGATTAAACTCCTTTTTAAGATTCTGGAGTGAACACTTTCTTTAAATCGGGACCTCAAAACTAATTCCTTTATCATTACATTCCTACAGTGTTATAACTCCCTCCATTGAAGGTTTAATAACAGAGGCAAATGTATGGAAAATAATCATACTCAGTTCTGATGCATAGATCAAAGGGTAAAAGCTCTAGAGAAAGACAGGATATTTAAGAAGTCTTCATGTGAGGCACTGACTTTCAATTTGAAAATACGTGAAAAGTATTTCTTGAGTATTGATTATGTATCATTAATAACCAGTGGTAGTGTCAAATCAGGAGACAGTACTATATCCCAACACTGGAAAGTACTAAACGGTAAATACATTAAAGGCAGGAACTCTCAGTCACATTTTTATTGCCTGTTACCTAGCACAGGGCCAAACACATACATCATGCCTGATTCACACACTAAAATTGGGGGTAAACCTTTTAAGAAGAGACTCTGAAAGAGCTACCTAGATTGGGCCTCCCCTGGTGGCACAGGTGGTTGAGCACAGCTCCCCTCAGCAGTGTATTTCATCAGTCTGCCTGTTCTGTTCCCTGCCCTGTCTCTGGTGAATCCTCTCACCCTCCCGCGCATCTGGCCTATACCCCGATTGTTGTATAAATAAATCTTTAAAAAAAAAAAAAAGAGCTACCTAGATTATTTATAGTAATCAAAATGGAGATGAAGAATAGAAAGTGAAAAGATTGGATTAGGCTAACAATACAATGAAAAGAAAAATAATAACTAGCTCAGTAACTGAGATGCTGGCATTATTCCCAGCTGTATTCTGGAGTGAAGGAAAAATAGAAGACAGGGCAAACAGATTAAAAGACAGGATTAGGAGAAAGAGCTAAAGAAAACATTTCAGGATGTCATGTGCACTTAAAGCAGACAATAGCATCTCCTATGCTAATAAAGACTGTTTTGTGGTAGAGGAAAATAGGAATGTTGCTCGTAACATCCTGTTATCTGAGGGGCTTACAAGGAAATGTTACTTTATTACTACATTGTCCACGGGTAGAAAAATAAGACTTTGGAGTAAGGGACCCAGCCCTGCCTGGATTAAAAGCCCAGCTCCACCTGTATTTACTGAAGTCCTTTCCATAGCCTAGCTTCCCATCTTTAAAATGGAGGCAGTAATAATTCCCACCTCATAGGGTTATGAGGATTAAGTGAGTTTATAGCTGTAAAGTAAAGCGGTGTCTAGCACACAGAAAGTGATATATTAGTGTTTGATGATATAGTGGTCTGTTTCTCTGACTGTTACCTGGGATCATAATACTGAACTTACTGTGAATATTTAAATGATGTAGTAAAATGCTCGAGAGGAGATGGTCAATAGATATTTCTGTTACTGTCCACCTCCCCCACCCTAAAAACTAATGAGATCAAGTTGATCCAGGGAATTTACTGGAGTATCAAGGATTGATTTTGATTTCCTTTGGCTCAGCTGAGACGCTCAAAATGAGTTTACTGGAGGCCAGGAAAAAAACAGAAAGGAAACAGTTCCAGAATACATTAATGTTATGTCTGCCCCCAAATTACTTCTCTTGATACTCTAGGGGGGAAAAAAATGGTATCAAGGAGATTGACTTTTTTAGTACTTAAGTTCTTCCCCTTCTCACTTCTAGGATCCCACAGAACACCACCTGGTCAGGTTCATTTTTGTGTTCAGAAGGGGAGAGGGAGGCAGGACCACATACTCCCAAGATCCAATAAGCAGTAAGAAATAAAACTCAGCAGTGGCTGGGGATAGCTTCATAGTGCTGAGACTTAACCCCTTGCACCCCCACGGAGGCCCCAGTTTTTATTATTAATTCTCTTTCATTTCTTCTCTCATTATCTAGCTTAATTTCTCTGGTTCATCAGTAATGTAATGTAATGATACAAATATCAACTCTCTCACCTTTTTTTCCCTCTGTTACTCTCACCTGACAAAAAATGAAACCTGCATGAACCCAATTATGTGTCTTTTCCTTGTCGGTACCAATGTAGCTCTACATTGCAGGAGAAAAATTGTTGTTAGACCCATGTATCGAAATTGGTGGTCATCAAACCTCAGACAGGCCTTAACCACTGCTCAGTAATCTTACACTACTTCTCTACTATGCTCGATTTTCCACACCCTCAGAGACCATTCCACACCTCTCCTTGCTCTTCAGGCCGCCCAATCTTCCTTCCCACTCATTTTCAGCAGATGACCCTAAATCACCTTTGTTGAGTACCTTCTTGTATCAGTTAAGAAACTTGTTTTAAAGCAATTTCTTAACAGCAGCAGCACTATTGGAATTTGGAGCCAAGTGTGTTTGAGAGTTGTCTTGTGCATTAGAAGAGGTTAACAACATTACTGGTATTGACACACTTTATGCCAGTAACACTTAACCTGTTATGTCAACCAAAAATATCTCCAGACATGGCCAGATAACCATTGAGAAGTAAAAGCTTCCTTAGTTGAGAAGTACTGGTTTAAAGCAACAGAGTCCAATTCCAGCTATCTTAATGAAAAAAAAAAGAGGAGTATTTATTGAGAGGATAATGAAGTAATTCATAGACTGAGTAGGATAAGGCTTCCAGGGGCAGGATATTTCAGCTCTTCTTTCTAGTTGTGATAATTAGGTTATCTCCTCTGTCTTTGGGTATTCCTAATCAAGTTAGTTCCAATTTCTCAGTATGAAAAGTTGACGTCCAGGGCCTCCCCGGTGGCGCAGCGGTTGAGCGCTGGGTTGCGAAGCTGCCCGCGGCCTCTGCGGCGCCGGTTCGATCCCCGGCTGCTCCCCGGCCACCGGAGGAGGGTCCCGCATGGCGCGCAGACCTCTCCTGCCGCCCGCTGCTCCCCTCAGCAGTGTACTTCGGTTCTTCTGCCTGCTCTGCTCCCCGCTCTGGCCCTGGTGAATTCTCTCACCCTCCCATGCTTCTGACTGTACCCAGTGCTTGTACAAATAAATAAATAAATAAATAATAATAAATCTTTAAAAAAAAAAAAAAGAGGTATAAACCTATACCTCTGAATCATACACAGTGTTGTGAAAAAATGTTAAAAAAAAAAAAAAAAGTTGACGTCCAGTTTAAGTCAGGTATTCACTCCTGTGGCTTGGGGAGTAGAGTCTGTAACTAGAATCGAGTTAGGAAAAGGTAGTCAGCAGTAAAAAAGGCCTCCCCCATACTCTGTAATTGAATTCAGCTTAAGTGGCTTAAAACCTGACTATGAAGGTTTCAATGAATTGGAGTTTCTTTTTCTATAATGCAAATAAGTCTGAGGCAGGCAATTGTTGGTACTGTTTCAGCTGCTAAATAATATCATCATAGTCTTTTTCCTTTTCGCAGCTCTGGGTTTTCATCTTCAAGCTCACTAAAGTTGAACGATGACTATCATACTTCCGGATATCATGACCACATTTAAAGGTAAGGAAAACACAGGGGTGTGGGGGAGACAGGAAAAGAAACTTTTATGTGAGAAGTTTCCTCTCCTTTAATCAGCAAAGGAAATCTTTTACAGAAACCTCAGCAAACAACCCTTAAGTCCCATTGACCAGAAATAGGTGATTGGGGCAGTCTCTTAACTGCAAGATCCAATGGGAAAGTTAGGGTTTGATAAAGGGGAATGCAGTAGCCGTGACTGGCTTAGATCAGTCACTCTTTTTTTTTTTAAGATTTATTTATTTACGCAACAGGAACTGGGGTACAGGCCAGATGTGCGGAGGGTGAGAGGACTCACCAGAGACAGAGTGGGGCAACAGAACAGGCAGACTGACTGAAATACACTGCTGAGGGGAGCAGTGGGCGAGTCAGGAGAGGTCTGCTGCACCATGTGGGTAGCTCCCTGGCTGGGGAATCGAACTCGTGCTGCAGTGGCTGCGATAGCTTCATAGGTTGCGTCTTAACCCCTTGCGTCACCAGGGAAGCCCAGATCAGTCACTCTTAATCCCCTAGCTATGGCCGCATTGCTACCACAGATGAAGCTTTATTAGCGGAAGAATAGGGTCTAAGCTATTAGTTAAGCAATGCTGTAGCATCTGCTACATCTTCCCAATATCATACCTGCCAACCTAATGATTTTATAACCATTTCCTCTTTCTTCCATTCTGTAACAAGAAACAATCCCTTTAACTATGCTCTGAATCCTGTTTCCCTCACTCAGTTCCCAAAGACTTCATTTCTTTATCTGGTTATCCCCTTTCTTTCCTATATCATCAACTGTGGCGGCTCCTGAGAGCAATGTGACTATTGCCACAATTTCTCATTAAAACAGAGTGGTTGTGCTGTTATGGTACATAAGTCCCTCTTCCCCTGTGTGCTGGACTGGACAGTCAATGACGGGTAAGATCAGAAAGGAGTTTCTGACAACCTAAGACAGACGCAGTCCCCAAGGGGATTTTAATGGTTCCCACCTTTCACTTATGGAAAATAACTAGGAAAACAGGCCTGGAAGATGTTGAGGCACAACCAAGTCATGTTGTTAATCATTACTAGGCAGTAGTTTCACAATAAAGGAAAGCAATCATGGCCAAGGAAACTGGTTCTATTGTTTTCAGTAAACGTGTTACCAAGTAGAATTATAGGAATAATAAGTAGAAATGGGAGCTATAAAAGTAAGATTATGATAGGTATGTATAATCATAACAGTGAATCGCAAGACATAGAACAGACCTCCGCTGAGGGGGGTAAAATATGAAATGTTCTTGATTTGTTCCTGATTTCTTGGTAAATAATAAACAAGATGTTATGTTGTTCATGTTTCACTGCATTTACGAACAATCTGATAAATGATTAACCACATACTGTGAAAAACATAATGAAGTAATCACTGTGAAAATGTATAAAAAGAGATGGCTGATCCTAATTAATGGCACTCAGATTTTCACTCTCCCTTGAGTGTGTCTGTGTGTCATTCTTGTCCCTCGCCCTAATTCCTTTGACCACCCTTTGCTCATTCTCGCTCAAACCCTGAGATTGTTTCAATCTCCCGCCGCCGCTGGGCTGGTCCGCGGCAATCAACCTTCCCTAGCTATAGGCTCATACTCGAGGCATGCGAACATGCTCTAGGTTTTGTCCATCTTTACAACTCCTTTATAAAATGATGAGATATAGCAAAAACAGTAAAAGGTTAATTACAGAATTTAGTGATATTTACTATAAAATTCTTTCAACTTCTCTATGTTTAAAACTTTCATAATGTAATATTTAAAATAAAATCTTTTCCTTGACCCCCAAATCACCATCCAGCTTGTTTCTCTGCTTATTGTTTGTTCAGATTCCTTTTAAAAATGCCTTTCTCTGTTTGCTCCCTTCCCTTTTAATTTCAATTTATGCTGATCTGGCCTCCATCTCCACCACTGTTATCAGGTTGCTCTCAGTAAGCTCACTGTTGAATGGACATTTTCTGTCCTTTGTTTATTAAACTGCTCAGCAGCATTCTTTGCTGCTGACTTTTCTTTCTTTGAAATGCTTCCCACTCTTGTTCCTTGGGGGAAGACATAGAGATGTGCTCCTCACATACCCCTTCAGGGAAGGGGAGGGACTGACTCCCTCCAACTATGGCCTAAGGATCCATCCATGCTTTAGAGCCAAAGCTGTTCTCTTCTTGGGGTGTAACTGAGGGCATACTCTTCTTAGGGAGGCTTCTTTCCACCAACACAAAAATCCTCTTAACTTGCAGCCTTTGCTGGGGAGTTCCTCATTGAGCTGGCAGGGACTTTGTGAGGTTTGTATCACTGTCTGAAACTCCCCCTGCACAAGCCTGCTCCTGCCTCTTTTCCTTTTACAAGTGTTCCCTGACAAATCTTTAGTGTACCTAATTGTGTCTCAGCATTTGTTTCCTCTTCAGCATGTTTATTTTTCTCATTTCAGGGAATGGTATGCACATGTTTGCCAAGTCACAACCCCATGAATCTTCCCTGAGTCTTCATTTTTGTTTGTACCACATCTCTAATCCATCAGCAAGTTCTGTTGAGCCTGTCTCCAAACTACATCATACACGTCTCTCAGCAGTCAGGTGATCTCTTACAACACTGCACTACTCTACTTGAAAACAATGGCTTCTTATCCAAACCCCTTACTGCTTATGTCAGGGCTCTTCATGATATCTCCTCTCTTTCTGTTCAATTATATTTCCTCTTCATCAATCATTGTACTCAAGCCATTTTGTTTTTTTCTGTTCTAAGAAACCATTCCAAGTGAAGGCTGTTACCCAAGCCGGAGACCTCTATATCCCCTACATTTTACATGCTGGGCACTCCTCATTCCTCACCAGTCCCCTTCAACTCAAGTGCTACTGCCTCAGAAAAACCTGTGACCACTGAATCTAAAGTAATTTCCCCCTACTGGCCCCATTACTCACCCTAGTAGTGTGTGCGTGTATGTATATACCTATATATGAAATTTGTTTATAGTTATGCATATAGTTATGCATTTATCCTTTTCTTAATTGATTTTGTCCTTCTCACTAGAACATAAGCTCTGTGGGAGTTAAGACCGTATTTAGTTTGCTTATCTCCATTTACCCAAAGCCTAGCACAGTATCTGATGCACATAGTAGACAATCAGTGTGCTTTTGTTGAATGCATGGACGATTGAATGCAAACAAAATCACCTACTTATCTTAGATTCTCATGTTGTTCAGTTGGTTTTTTTCCTTCTCATAGCATTTTGGAAAAAGGATTTGATTTTAGCCTTTATCTTTCTTCCTTTAGAAAGAATGGAAGTTATATTCTCTGCCTGCTGACTTTATAGTGACTAACATAAAAAAAATTGTAATAGTAACAGTACATCAGAATATCTATATCCATGTTAAAATGACCATAATTTTAAAGTCCCTTACTTTAAAATTAGAATACCTCTACCCAAAATATTTATAATACCCTAAGAAAAATAATCTTATTCCTATTTAACTATCTTTCTGATAAAATAAGATAAAATAAACTAGATATGAAGTAGTAGGGAGAACCTTGAAGTATATATGCTAAGGATTATAAGAATTTAGTGAACATAAAATTTAGTCATGTTGCAGTAACATTATCAAGTAAATATTGTGTGCCACAATTATAATTTTTGTTTCCTTCCAGCAAAATACCTGAGGGAGAATATGCAATGGCTTCAGTAGCTATAAATCCTGTTCCTAATTTCTGAATTTTCATTCCATAAAGTTAAAAAACATCACCTCTCACTACCCCTCATAGACAGTACATCCAGAGAGAAGAGTCTTTATAGAGAACTATAAAACTTCACTATGATAAAAGTTGACCTGAAATACTTGGAAAAGTGCATTTACACCTTTTACTCACACTAAAGAGATGTGAATCACAGCATTTAAACATCTTTCTCTAACTTTAATGATTCTTTTGTTAATGCAGACATTTTTTGTGACATCATGACTTTTCCCAAACAACAGCCTCTTTTGTGATGCCATACAGATTGCATCTTCCCATACCCCTGCCCAAGTTGTAGTCCTAGAATAAGGTTAACATGTGATGTCACAGGAGAACGATACAAAGAAATATGCCAAAGGTTACAATGGTCAGGAGGAATGAGTCATCATGCTGGTTTAGGGCAAGTCTTGATATCATCAAGGTGTGGCCAGGCAGCCTTCAAGGATGAAGACAAGATTGCTGGGATAGGTCAGGACATATTGCAGGAATGGGGTAAAACTTAATGCTTAATAGTGGGCAGGCTCTGAATTCAGCAGTATATTGGGCAAAATTCACAAGAGGCTCAGGAGTTGAGTCCATATTTGGGGGGTCCTTGAAGTCCGAAGGAAATGGAACAGTCCATCACAAAAAAAATTAGGAAAGTTTTAGGAGGAAAATCACAAAGTAGTTATCTCAGGCACACATAGCTTATTCACCTGCATTCAGCGTGGCTGTTCCCTGCTAAGAAAAAAAATAACAAAGCAAAACAGGAATTGCCATAATAAAAACCAGAATTTCTGGCTTCTTTTGAAAATGTTTTTTTTCCCCCTGAGTCAATTTCTTTTATTGGGAAATTGACTCCCTGGTGGCACAGCGGTTGCCCGCATGGCACGCAGACCTCTCCTGCCACCCGCTGCTCCCCTCAGCAGTGTACTTCGGTCCTTCTGCCTGCTCTGCTCCCCGCTCTGGCTCTGGTGAATTCTCTCACCCTCCCGCGCTTCTGACTATACCAAGTGTTTGTATGAATAAATAAATAAATAAATCTTTAAACAAAAAAGACTTATTGAAAATGGTATCCCCAACTAGTACCAAGGCCTCTGCATGGCCTGACTCTGTGTCCTCAAGCCTCAGAAAGGACAACCATGTGAAGAAGCCAGGGTCAACCTCAGGTTACCCCCTCCACCTCATCTTCAACTGACACATACACCCTGAGTGAACACATACAACTGACACATACACCTGGAGTTCTAACAGCCTTTAGCCATCATTCCTACATGGCAACAGCTACCAGGAGCACAGCAATGGCTTCCCCCTTTGGATGATAAAGATAATCTTAGCTTACCAGTCCCCATTTAGCCACCTTTACTCATATCATCTACCTAGAACTCATAGGCATTTAAGTTTGTGACACTGTTGTGGGGAATTACATATAACAAAGAAGTGAGTTGATGTTGAGACATATTGTAGGAGGGAATGGTAATCTATTGACATAAAGAGGTATGTAGACCTGGAAATTTCATTGTCACAAAGATAGACAATTGAGATATTTATATCCCACCATTTTAATCCTCTGAACATTTTCTTTTTTTCTCCAAGATTTATTATTTATGCATACAAGAACTGGGGTGAGTGGTGGGTGAGAGGATTCACCAGAGACAGAATGGAGAGCAGAACAGACGGATTGACAGAAATACACTGCTGAGGGAAGCAGTGGGCCAAACAGGAGAGGTCTGCTGCACTATGTGGGTTAGCTCCTCGGCCAGGGATGGAACTGGTGTTGCAGTGGCTGCTGATAGGCTTCATAGTGCTGAGTCTTAACCCCTTGTGCCACCAGGGAGGCCCCTGAGAACATTCTTTCTGATCCTGCCACTTTGATCACAGAGCATTTTTCCCTTTCCATGTATTTGAGAACTTTGCAATCTATGCATTAATTAAGGAATTGAACTGGATCAACAGAATTTAATTCACAAGATAACATCCCCCCTCCCAAATTCACTGGTAGTGACATAACTCTTATGATTTATTTGTTGTCAGATATCCTTGATGTCAAGCTTCCTTGGTTCAGGTTTAGAACAAATCCCATTATCTCCAAGTGTTGTAAAATGTTATGTCTCCAAAGGATAAGATATTCCATAATGTCACCAGCTATTTGTCCTTGGAGTATCCTTACTGCCCACATGCCTTGGCTCAGATTGCTTCTTTTCGTGGTATTTTTTTTCTCTCTCATGAAACTCCTAGTCATTCTTCAAAGAATGATAGAGAAGTCATTCCCTCTAACCACACCCACTTCACATTAAGAAACAACTCCTCCATTAGACTCCTAGAATTTTGAGGCACCTTTATCATAGAATTTAAATCTTTATTATAGAACTGGTTTTTAAAAAATTATTAATATCCCTTGGTAAAATTAGACACTGTGTTACTTAAAGGCAGTGTTTTCATGCTAGGGCCTGGCATTATAAAGACATTTAATAAATGTTTGTTGAATGAATGTTGATATGCACATACAGAAATTTACTAGGTCAAGAGATTAATGAGGTGGGACCATAATGGTAAGTGCTACTGTATAATAAAAAGTTGTCACAGGGATGAACCAGAATATGATGTCATGAGAAAAATCTATGAGAATTTACCTGATGACACTAATCTGAAAGTGCTGACTATAACAAGAAAAGTTGCTGGACCCTGCTTGGCCACTAGGATGATACAAGTCTCTAGGGAATCCTCTTAGATCCAGTTAAGTGTTAACGCTTCCCCACCTTTCAGTTCCCAGTCTTAACACTACAGAGCAACTCCTTTGCTCTAGCCGAGGCCCCCATGGTCCTGCACCAATAGGAGTATCTCTCAGGTGCAGAAGGCCTGTCTTGGGAACCACACAGGTGGGTCAGACATTGCCTTTGCCCTCCAGTTGCTCATAGACCAATAGGAGAGGATGGGTACTGTGTAATCTTGAAACCAGCCACTTTGGCTATAGATGAGAATTTGACCCACTTTCATGTGGTTCTGTAGCGTCATTTGTACCTACACATCTGACCATAATCACACAGTTATGGCTTGTAGTAATTCTCCCAGAAAAATAACTATTTCCTTTGAGTACATTGTATGAGATCAACATCTTCTGTGATTTCTTGTTGTACATTTCCATATTGATAGCAGGGAATTTCATCTCTGAAAAAAAAAATTTAAGTTGCTTGATACTGTGGAAAGTGTCCCTAGTTAGAACTTAGGCAACTTGAAGTTAGTCCTAGTTCTGCTCCTATGACCCTAGAGAGGAGTTGCTTCACTTGTTTGGGTCTCTGCTAGGACATTCAGTGTTATGAAAAATGGCAAGTACTTTTTGATGCTCACAATCAAAAGCAGGCTTCTACTAAATCAATGGATGTTAGAACTGGATGCCGATTCATCTAATCCCTCATTCACAAAAGAGAGAATGAAGCTGGTGGTGATAAAGCGGCTTACCAAGGTCAGACATCTAGCTGAGAGCAAAGTCAAGTCTGTGTGTTTAAGAACTGTGCTGTTGTTTGCTAAATCCCCAGTCACTGTGTGCCCGTTGTCATTAGGTAGCAGCAAACAACACTGTGCTTAGCTTAACACATCTTTCTTCCTTTGTTTAGACAGTTTCCTTTGAAGGGAATTAAATCCTTGCTAGTAAATACTTAGTTGTGATTTACTTTAAGGGATTTATAAGCTTTCATTTTATGTTGTTGATAGTAATGATTAAAGCTTGGAAAGGTCACTACAGGGGGAGGTACAGCAGAACACCTTTAACCATTATCTATGGGATACAAGATAATTAAGTAAAACTTTCTGTAATTTGAAAATTTTCCAATTTTATACTTCAGTAAGACACTTAGCATGCAGAAAAACAGAATATTAAAATGCCTTTATTTGGAGTTAAGAATTAGAACAGAATTTCCCTTGTGAGAGAAAAACCCTAAGGCCAGGTTTTCAAGACTTTTAAAGGTGTTTTGATAACACTATGGTAATTTAGTTTCTTTTGGCATGTTACACTTTATTTATTCTCATTTGACACACATTCATTAAA